TCACAAAAAAAAATCAAATAATAATAATAATAAAGTTCTTGATGGGAGGAGGCACCAGATAACTCCCAGCAAGGACTCTTCCAGAATAAAGGTAGCAGTGAACAGGAAGAATGAGGAGTTCAGGGAAAGTGGATGTTACTGACGACCAGACATAAACACAAAATGGTTGGAAATAGACACCAGAGGCTCTGTCCCCTCAGTCCATGCAGGCATCTCTCTGGCCATGCCCCCTGCAGGGTAAAAATGTGTCTTAGCAATAGGTGTGGCCGTATCAAGCCCAGGCTCAGTTGGAGTCCCTAGAGGATTCCCCAAATCATCACTAAGCCATATCACAACACCACGGAACCACGGGTGGGGATCCAATCAATCAAAATCTGTGACTTAAGAGTAGCATAAACTGTGGAGCCTCTGAAATGAGGCTGTTTCCATTATGTTACCATTCAACATCTTGACACTGTGCAAACTGATAAGTTCAAGACAGAGAGTGAGGGGTGTCACATTCATCCCAAAAGGGAGCAGCAGGGAGAGGGGGCACAACACGCCTTGACTCTTCTCCTGGGTTTTGGCAACAGGATGTTAGGTCTTTGCACTGAGTGTAAGGCCAAGGACTCAACAAGGGATCAGAGAGAAAAAGAAAGCTAAAGAAGCTTTATTTAAGGGAGCTCTCAGGTGCAATTCCTTGGTCTGGAGAGATAGACCAGGTGAAAAACCATGCTTTCAAGGTGGAGTTTTGTTTTGTTTTGTTTTGGGGGTGTGCAGGTTTTTATAGTAAGGGGTTTTAGGGAAGGGAAGGAAGTATATTCTATTGTGGTTTAGCCAGGTCAGTGAGTCTATTTACTCCCTTTGTTGACTTGTTGATATTCTTTTAATCTTTCCTTCTCCTCCTTTGACCTTGGTCTAGGCCTGACACCCCATCTCCCCTGTGAGTCTATGTAACAAGCATATGTAGGGAATCCTTTGGTAGAAATAACTAATTCATTTAGGAATATGTTGTTTCCCAACTAACTGACTTCTAGATTTTCTATTCCAAAGTATATGGAATTTCTCAGGTATGAATATACTCTGAATTGTTTTTTATAAAAATATAATTTACAAAGAAATAATTACCTGTTTTAATGCACACCCATGTTTATTGCTGTTTTGTTCAAAATAGAGAAGATATGGAAACAACCAAGTGCCCATCAACAAACGAGTGGATAGAGAAGCTGTGGTATATTCACACAATGGAATACTATGCAGTACTGAAAAACAAGGAACTCATGAAACATTATACGAAATGGGTGAACCTGGAGGACAAATAATGCATAATGCTACTGTTACAAAACAGGACTGACATGGGGGTTGAGAGGAAACTAAAAAAGGGGGATAAATAATGTGCACTGCATTGAAACAGATGAGGGAAAGAACTATTTAAAAGGAATATATGATTAGGAATTACTTGCAAGACAAAAGTCTAGAATAAGAGCTGCATAGTAAAGTGGACTGAGTGAGGGATTGAATAACAATGAAAGATTTTTTTTTTAAAGAGAAAAGTGAACTGTGGGGGAGAGGTGGACAGGGAGGAAAATGTGCGACAATGAATGAATGGAAATCCAAGTTCTCTATAAACTTCCATTAAAATCTCAATTAAAATTAAAAAAATAATTACCTGTTTTGTGACAAATAACCTATAACACACCTCTTTATTGGTAATCTTATGATTAAGAATTGCTTGTCTACTGCTTGAGATCTTTGTGAGATACTTGTTCCTGCAACTAAATTTGGACAGTTTTAGGATTGTGAAAGCTTTGGATTCATGTTTTTGCAATAGAAGTAGTCAGAGAGGCAATATTTTTTAGCTTAAGAAACCCTGGTGGCATAATGAATTGCATGTTGGTTTGCTGACTGACAGATCATACAGTTGAAATTCACCAATTTCTTAATGGGAAAAGGATGAGAAAGTCTGCTTTCATGAATATTTATAGCCTTTGAAACCTGATGAATTGAAATTGATATCATGGCAGTAGAAAGTTCTGGAGGGAGTTGCATTACTAGCTCCAAGATGGTGTCTCTCTGGGGGTTGGAATCTACCACTGGCTCTATGGGAGAAAGATGAGTAATCTTTTGTGAGATTTACAGCCTCTGAAAACCCACTGGAGGGTCAGCTCTGAGTCAGTTCTGACTTTACAGCATGCAACAAAAACAATCACAAACCACAGTTGTATGTACTTTTTAAATACATGCTTGATAAATGAAAATTGAATTAATGTATAATATTCAAAACTACTCAGAAGCTTGTACACTCAACCAGAGTGCTATTAAAGCATTCAATATATTTTTCTTCTAGTAACCTCTGATCATTCTTTGACAACCAATTTTTGAAGTGTGGAAAACTCCTACCCACAAGTTCTCTTATAGTGCTATGTCCCAGTCCCATTTCTTACTGGGAAGTGCTGCTTGAGGAATAAGAAGAAATGAAGGTCATGGTGATCTTCCCTTATCTTTAATATCTTCAGCATGACATTTTCATTTTGTGCTTTCTGTTAAAAAGACCTCTACTCAAAGCAGCATCAATGTAGAATAAAGAACTTGGACACTTGGTGGATATATACACTATGGCATGTGATATTTATTGATGATAAAAATTTGTCTCCTGGAAAACTCCTTTCACCATTATAACCAATCTTGAGCAAAGAATCTTTTGGATTTTTGCAAGAGTCTTTTTTTTTCAGTTCCTTGCTTCTGGTATAAGGAGCAAAAACCTTTTGTACAAGATGACTTTTTTAGCCTTTTAATATTTCCACTTGTCTGCTCCTAGTTATCCCACCCTGAAGAAGCTGGCAAAGAGAAGACCAGATATTCCCATTTATGTTGGAAACACTGAAAGACCTGTATTTTGGAATCTGAATCAGAGTGGTGTCCAGTTGACCAATATCAAAGTTGTGCCATTTGGAATATGGCAGCAGGTCAGTTATCTGCTTTCTTTTCATATTTTTCAGTTTTGCTGTTCAGGGTGAATTTTAGGTGAGGTCATCACTCTAAAGGAACACAGGCCAATTTTGTCTTTACTTGATAAAGTGTAAATGCAAACTTTATTTGAGATCCAAATGTTGGGCAAGATTTGTTAAAGCTGTTTTTCTTTTCAGTCTGCAATGAAATAACTGTAGATCCAGGAACAAAACATTCTGAATAAAGGGTATTTTTTCAAATTTAACAATTTAACAGTTTTTGCAGAAGACTTACCAGGTTGTGGAGCTGTTTTTTTTTTTTAAATTTTCGTTTTGGTGACAGTTTATGAACTATTGAATTTTCCATTCAACAGTTGATACACATTTTGTTTTGTGACAATATTTGCAATCCCCACAATGTAATAACACTCTTCACTTTTTTTCCTGCTTTCCACTCTCATTTGCCTTCTCTTCTGCCCCTTCTTGCCATGTGAACTTTGTTTTGTAGCAAATGCTGCACTTTAGATCTAGTTTGGTTGATTGTTCTGAGGTGTATGCTTTTCCCTGGTTTACTTTGTAGGCTTTCTACTGTTTAGTTGAAAGTTGGTCCCCATGAATACTTATCATATCTTGAATTAAAAGCCAAACTATGGGTGAAGATAAAGGCAACATACAATATGGTTTTGATTGTTGTTGTTATATAGTATCAGGTTGGAACTGACTTATAGCTGACCCTCCAGTGGATTTTCAAAGGCTATAAATTGCATGAGATAAGAGTGCCCATCTTTCTCTTATGGAGACACTGATGGATTTGAACTAAAGGCCTTTGGATTGTCAGTGTAACTCCTTATCACTGGACATTATAATTACTTAATTGTAAGTAATGTAAAACAAAATATCTAGGAATGATTGAATAAAAATGCAATATGACTTGTAAACTTTAACTCCAGTAAAACTTTTTAAAATGCAAACTTTCATACACAGTTGCTGGTTTTATTGTTAAATTTCAGGTAGACAAAAATCTCCGATTCATGATCTTGATGGATGGTGTTCATCCAGAGATGGATACTTGCATTATTGTGGAGTACAAAGGTATTTTCTTATCCTCCTCAGCAATAAACAACTCTCCTTGTGGAAAAGATAACAAAGCACACAGTTTTATGCTGTTGTTGTTTGTTATTGATGTGTACTGTAATGTCGGAAAGACCCATAGCTGAACCTCTGGCAGGTTTTCAGAGGCAGTTAATTGAACAGGAGGAGATTGCCTATGGCAATCTTTTTCTTTTTATTTGCATAGAACAAAGTACATTATATTCAAATCAAGACATATTGGGCTATCATTTCTATAATATACGCAGAAAACAAATTACAATATTATGTAGTTACATATACAAAACTTTTCTCAGAAGACAAGAGCTCATATTGTGCCTAACATAATTTATTTCAGCCTACAACTATATCAAATAATACATATCCAATACATGATAATGGTATTGTATACATGTCTGCCCTTCATGTGAGAAGATGCCTTTCTGGCCCAACCATTAGTTGAATATAATCCTTGCAAACAGTGGAAGAATTTTTATTGATCTGCTAACTCTGTCTCCTAGATCTTTCAGGCTCAATGTTTGGAAACAGTTCACTGAGGTTAGGAATTCAGTCTGTCTGTAGTCTTGGAGCAGAAGGAACCAAACTGTCCCCATGAGACACTTAGAACCCACTTAGTCAAAAGGATGAACCAATTAACTAGAAAATTCTAGGTATATTGTCTAAGACTTTACTTTTTGATACTTAAGTATTTTTCTTTTGGATTTGAACTATTCTCCCATAATTAAAGAAATCAGATTATATAGTTTTTGGTCTGTGTCAACCACTCAATTCATGGTCATTGCGTTTCAACTTATCAAGTTGGCTGACCTTCCAGGTGTTTTTTAAAAAAGCTTTAAATAGCACAACGTTGCCCATATTTCTCCCTCTAAGTATCTGGAAAATTAGAACAACCTGCTTTTGAATTGGCAGCACAACTCCTAGGCCAGCAGTTGTTGTTGTTGTGTGCTGACCATCAAGTTGGAACCCACCTGTAGCCAACCCTCCAGCGGATTTTCTAGGCAGTTAATCTCATGGGAGGTGATTGTCTGTCTATTCTTCCTTATAATCTGTATCAGTGTAGGAATTCAAATCACAGTATTTGGAACTTCACCATAAATGTTAATACCATTTTGTCTCTCCATAGGTCATAAAATACTCAATACAGTGGACTGCACCAGACCCAATGGAGGGAGGTTGCCTATGAAAGTTGACCTCATGATGAGTGATTTTGCTGGAGGAGCTTCTGGCTTTCCAATGACTTTCAGTGGTGGAAAGTTTTCTGGTACTATTTTATATTAAAGTAACTTAAAAAAAAAATAAAGGAGCCCTGGTGGTTCAATGATTAAATGACCAACTGCAAACCAAAAGATTTGTGGTTTGAACCCATTACTATTCTAGGGAGTCTGCTTTCATAAGGATTACCTGCTGACATCACATCTATTCTGATTCATCATAGTAACTCTGTGTTGGGTTTCTGAGACTGTAAATCTTTATAGAAAGAGACTGCCCAGTTTTCTCTCACATAACAGATGGTGGAAGAAAATGGATTTAATAGCTTTAGCTTACTGACTTAATAGCTCTCTGCTATCAGAGCTTCTTTACATAAAAGTTACACCCTCAGAAATTCTGCTTTATTTTATAGAGTCATTATGAGTTGGGGTTGACTCCATGGCAATCAATAATACTAAGTAAAGAGTTTCTGGGTGGTACAAATGGGTAAGACCCTCAACTATGAAGAGATAGGTTGGAGGTTAAAGTTCCCACAGTGGTGCCTCATAAAAAAGTTCTGGTGATCTTTTTCTAAAAACTCAGCCACTGAAAATCCAATGGAATAAAGTTTACTCTGACCAAATGGGATTACCATGAGTTAGAATTGACTCTACAACAACTTATTATGTATTGTTATTATGTGCTGATGAATTGAACTGACTCATAGATGACTCTCCAGCAGGTTTTTAGAGACGAAAATGACATGAAAGAAGATTGCCTATCCGCTGTCAGATTCAAATTGCCTGTTTTGTGTTGGCAGTGCAACTCCTGAGCACTAAGCTGCTAGAAGCCTCCTCCAGTACTTTGTGTGCTGCACTTTGCTAAATATTGTATGAAAGAATACAAAGACAAAAGCCATAGACCCTTCTTTAAGAAGCTTTCAATATTTTTGTGAAAACTGTTTTGTGTTATTTTGAAACCCCTTTGTATATAAGAGATGTCTCAAAAATGCTGAGGAGCAATGATATCATTTTTAAGACTAAGGTGTGCTTGATTTGGGTTTTGGTCTTCTCAGTCACCTGCTATGCACCAGAGAGTTAGGTTTTAGGTTATAATCTGGGATTCTCAAGTCAATTTTCAAGACCTCAGGTTGGCATGGATGATTTGCATTCAATTTAATGACTAATAGGTTGGCAGTTTGAACTCACTCAGTGGCACCATGAAAGACACAGATCAGTTTGTTGTTTTTAGGTGCCGTCAAGTCAAATATGACTCATAGCAACTATTAGCAGTAGATATGAATCCTGTCCTATTTTGTCCCATCCTCATAATCTCTGGTACATTTAAGTCCATCGCTACAGTTACTGTGTCAATCCACTTTAATGGATTCCTCTCTTTTGCTGGCCCTCCATCTTTCCAAGCATAATATCCTTTCCCATAGAACAAGCTCTCTTAGCAACATGTCCAAAATTAGTAAGAAAGATGGAGTTTTGCCATCCTTACCAACAAGGAACACTCTGGCTGCACTTTGCCCAAGATATATCTATTTGTTCTTTTGGCAGTCTGTAGGATATTTAGTAATCTTCTCCAACACCTCAATTCAAAGATATCATCAGTTCTTCTTCTGTCATCCTGATTTATTGTTTAGCTCTCAGAAGCATAGCAAGTGATTGGAAGTAAGTGTAGGGAACAGTATTTCCATTACCCTAATAATTGCAAGGGAGTTTTGGTGGCATAGTCAGTAGGGAGTTGCACTGCTACCTTAAAGGTGGCACATTTCTAGGGGTTCAAATCCACCTTTGTACCCAAGGGAGAAAGATAGGCAATCTCCTTCTATATGATTTACAGCCTCCTGAAAATCCACTGGATGGTTAGCTATGAGTTGCTTCAGAATCAATGAGTTTGAGTCTGAGTTGTACAATCAGCAATTTTTGTGCTTATATGTGTACGGACATAATTGCATGCATGTTTTTGTTTTTGTTGTGTCGGAACTGACTCATAGCTGACCCTCTGGCAGGTTTTTGGAGGCAGTTAATCACGCAAGAAGAGACTGCCCACTCCCATGGAGCACTTGGTGAATTTGAACTGTGTTCTGTTTGGTTTGGAGTGCAGCTTCTCACATCTAGGCCACCAGTGCTCCTACAATCACATGCATTTAAAAAAGATCAGAAATATACCAAAACATTAACAGTTGTTATATCTAAGCTATGGAGTTTGGACAACTTCTTTTTTACCTATGCTATATAAGATTTTCTCAGCAATAGCAATAATAGCTCTTCAACACTCTGCCCTTATCTGAGTTCTGCCTACTTCCTCAATTTCCTTTACTACCTGTCTCACCTTTTCTTGTTATAGATCAATCCACCTGACCTGCTTTATTTTCCCCTCAGACCCACACTCAAAATAATTTCTGCCCACCTGTGTTTTTTGCTTTTCTTGCCATCTGGCATGTTCTCTCTTTATCTATCGTTTAAACTCAAATGCCATCTATCACTGACCATCCTATTCAATGGTGTTTTGCTACCCCTATCCCACCTCACCCAGCCCCTTTCAGTCCCCTGGCCCTGTTTTATTCACAGCACTCTTTGAAAATGGCATTAATGATCTTCTTTGGAATGCTCCATGAAAACAAGGACCTGCTTTGTCATGTTCATCACTATCCTCTCCAGGCCTACACACATGGCAGAGTAGGTCTTCAGTAAATATCAGTTACATGAAAGAGTGAACAAATTATCAGAAAAATACTTGTGAGGTAGGCATCAAAGAAATATAAGTAAGAATGTAAGTAATTTGACCATGGATGTACAATCAGTAAGGTGTCCTGGTGGCATGGTATGCAATATGTCGGTCTTGTAACTGAGAGGTTGGATTTTCAGATCTACCAGTTGCTTCTCCTGTTAAGATCTACAGCCTCAGAAACAATTATGAGTTGAATTTTTTTTAAATTTATTTATTGTTGTGTACCATCAAATCAGAATCTAACTGGAGATTGCCCCTCCTTCTTTAGCAGAACATCTGGTGAATTCAAACCTTCAGGATTACAGCACAGCTTCTTGCCGCTGGGTGACCAGAGCTCCCTTTATGAGTTGAAATTGACTCAGCAGCAGTGGGGGTTTTGGTACAACCAGTGGAAATGAATTTTGATCCCAAGTCTGATCCTATCCTATTAAACACTAGATATTTTCAGTCATATATTTTGTGTATACAATTCATTAAGTTGATAAAGTAATTTCTTTGTTAGTAAATTGTAAATAATTTTGACAACTATAGTGTTCTTATAACATACACAGTTACAATCATGTGTGCTGCCCTATTTATCCAGTTAGGTTCCTGAACTGCCATAATCCCATAATGAAGGAAGGGTCACAAAACCTTTGGCTGGTCTAATAACATTTTCCTAGAACCAATTTGGGCACTGTTAGTTATTTTTCAACTAAACTATTAGTTCTTTTTTCAATTACTTCCATCAGCAAAATGCTATCTCCCCTATTTTACCATAGAGTCATTTGTATCTCTGAGTGATCAGCATTGAGTCATAGACCTAGTGGGTAAGGAATTGCACTGCCAATCCAAAAGTGGGCAGTTTGAATCCACCAGCTACCCTACAGAATGATCATGGGCAGTCTTCTCTTATGTGATTTGTTGCCTCTGAAAACCTACTGTAGGGTCAGTTATGAGTCAGTATTTACTCAATGATTTACTGATGATGCAGGGAGCATTGCTGTAGGTTTGCTGTATCCATCTAGCAATTTTACGTCCTGCAAGAGTTCCAATCTAATAGAGTGTTTTTTTTCCCCTATTATTTTTGAACAGAAGAGACTCTAACCCAAATCCTGTCATTTCAGAGGAATGGAAAGCCCAGTTCATTAAAACAGAAAGGAAGAAGCTCCTCAACTACAAGGCTCGTCTGGTGAAGGACTTGCAACCCCGCATTTACTGTCCTTTTGCTGGATACTTTGTGGAATCTCACCCATCAGACAAGTATGACTGGGACATTTTTCAATATTCTGACCTATAAATTAATGCATGCTAGAGTACGTGAAATAAGAAAGAGAGTGACCAGGAGGAGTTTGGAGCTGATTTAAACAAACTGCCTAGTCCCAGAGATCAATGAATAAAACCAAGCCTGGCAGCCACAGTTAAGGAGTTCTGGTGGCCTAATGGCAAAAAACTGCACTGCAATTCCAAAGGTGCGCAGTTCGAATCTACCAACTGCTCTGTGGGAGAAGGATGGGCAATGTCCTCCCTGCGATTAACTGCCTCTGAAAACCTGCTTGTGGGTCAGCTATGGGTTGGTTCTGACTTGACTGTACATAACAATAGCAGCTACAGTTAGTTCAGATTTTCTGTGAAAAGATCCCCAGGAAAGAGAGAGACAACTGATCAGCGTTAAGTATGGATTAGTAATCAAACTAGGGACTTTGAGCTAGAGCTACCTTGGATTTGAAAATTGATTCCTGGTCTATTGTAATTGACTCAATAGCAATGAGTTTTCTTTGTGTATGTGACATATTTTGGACCAGTCCTTGGAGAAGGAAATTATGCTTAGGAGGGTGGAGGGATAGTGCAGGAGGGTAAACCCTCTATGAGGTGGATTGATTCAGTGACTGGGGTAATCGGAGTGGTTGTGTTGAAGACAGTGTGATTGGCACAGGACAGAGCAGGGTTTAGGGCTATTGTACATAGGGTCACTATGAGTCGCAGGCGACTTGATGGCACATTACAACAAAAACAACAACATGTGCTAGCTCAAAGGAGCCTTTGGGCTGTAGTGATTAAGCACTCAATTGCTGGTCAGAGGTTGATAGGTTGAACTCATCAGCTGTCCCACAAGTGAGAGATATAGCAGTCTACTTCTATCAGGATTGCTTTGGAAACTCTGGGTCAGTTCTGTTCTTTTCTACAAAACCATTGTGTGTCAGAATCAACTGACCAGTGACAGGTATTGTTGATTTTTGTTGGCTTGTTTTATGTGCTAACTCAGGTCCCTGGGTGGTGAAAAAGTTTGCCCATCACTATTTACTTAAAGGTTTGTGTATCAAATCCACTCAGCCATGCTGTAGAAGAAAGATCAGTTACCTCCTTGACAGTTATTGAAAACCCTGTGAGACACACAGTTCAAATCTGAAATGAATACTTGGAGTTACCAGGAATCAGAATCATCTTGTTAGCAACTGTTTTCAGTTTTTTCCACTGGTTCTGTCTCATGCTAAAGCTTCTTTCTCTATATGACATGGCACTCTAAATAGAATAGAACCATTATTGCATGGACGTTATTGTTCCATATTTTTGGTATTTGAAGTTATTTCTTTGTAACACTATAACTTCTTAATTTTTTTCCAAGTGTATTCTCAGAAGTCCATGGGTTGTTTTTAAAAAAATTATTTAAATGCTGTGTTTAGTTTAATTGCCAAATTAATGCTAATTTTATTATTGGGTGTTGCCACAAGATTTTACACATGTGAGTATCTACAGTATGATTCTTTTTATGATCCCTTTGATGATACCTAAAATTAATTTATGAAGTTAAGTGTAACTTTTAGTACATGAGACTTGATTTTAGGGGAGATGCAGATTTGAGAATATTGATTTATTCAATTTTGATAACTAGCTTTCTATGCTAATTATGACAATTATTCTTCTCCAGGGCTTTACTACTGATCAGATGCTTGAAGTGGAGATGTTTTTCTTTCAAAGCATAGACCCTGTGATAAAAAAGACAAAAACATTTTTGTGAATTACTAAGTATAAATGAAAACATTCACAAGATTATGAGTGTCCTTTGAAGTTTGAATGAGGCATATTACAGCCACATTGTTCACTATGGTAACATAACAGTCAGTAGGACGTTGCACTGTTAACCCAAAGGGAGAACTTCTCTGGAAGTCTGAATCCTCCAGTGGCCCTCAAGAGGAAAGATGGGATATCTTCTCCCACACAATTTACTGCCTCTGAAAACCCAATAGATAGTTGACTATGAGTCAATGACTAATTAATAGCAGTGAGTTGAGTTGACTTGAGACAAGTTCTAAGTTCTTGAACACTTAGAACGTGACTAGTATTAATGAACTGAATTTTAAATTTTCAGTCTTTTAATGTTAAAACTGAGGAGTATCAAATATTTTCAGTTAAATAAAACTACTATTTCTCTAGAAAAACATATTACTTGAATCATTGGAATATATGTGATAGGATAGTATTGTTGCCTTGTACATTTTGAATGTATGCACTGTATCTACTGTTACACACAAAACAATCACTGATCTGTTCAATGTAAGTGGGTTGTTTGAGTAATCATTTTTCTTTGCACTATTGTGCATGGAAATAACAAAGTATTTAATGGAATTCTTTATGCAGGCAACGCACATTATTGTGATGACTATTGTAACCGTAATCTCTCAGTAAATGGAAATATTAGTATGTTATAAGAGAACAAATAGGGTCTGTCTTGGAGAGGGCGAAATCAAGTTTCTTCTTGGAGGCTAGGATTTTGAAGCTCCATCTCACATACTTTGGGCACGAGGCCAGGAGGGACTGGTTCTTGGAGAAGGACATCATGCTCAGAAGGATGGAGGGACAGTACAGTAGAGGAAGACCTAGATGAGATGGATTGAAACAGTAACTGGGACAATGGGAATAGGTGTGTCAGAGTCAGTGAGACTGGCTCAGGACAGGGCAGGCTGTTGTACACAGGGTCTCTATGAGTCAAAGGCAACTTGATGGTTCATAACAATAACAAAAACAACAACATAACATAAATTATTTTGTCCAATTTAAGTAAAATATGGACACATTTTAATATTAAAAATTAAAGCATCTTTTGATACAGAATTGAGCACTGATGCAAAAACTAGTCCCACAACAGGACCAGCAAAGACAAAGAAAGACAAAAAGAAAATTTTGATTGAAAATTTCATAATTTGCTTCGAGAAAAAAAAAACCCACACCAAACTCCATCTAGTTATGTACAAATTGTTTTAAAGTAATAAGGTTGGCAATATTAGAAGATAGTTTTTAACTGATATTTTAATGAGAGTTTATAAAGAACTTAGACTTCCAATCACTCATTGTGGCACATTTTCCTCCCTGCTTCCACAACCCAGATAGTTTTTTTCTTGGGGAAAAAATTCTTTCATTATTATACAGACCCCCACACCCCATCCTAGACCACTTTACTATGCGGCTCTTATTCTGGACTCTTGTCATGTCAGTAATACCTAATCATATATTCCTATTATACTGTTCTCTCCCTCATCTGTTTCAACGCCATGTAGATTATTAATCCCCTCTTTTCTTAGTTTTTTCCCAAGTGCCCATGTCAGTCTTATTTTATAATAGTGGCATTATGCAGTATTTGTCTTTTTTGTGACTGAGATATTTCACTCAGCATAATGTCCTCCAGGGTCACCCATTTTGTATAATAATTAATGAGTTCCTTGTTTTTCAATGCAGCATAGTATTCTATTGTGTGAATATACTATAATTTCTCTATCCATTCATTTGTTGACGGGCATTTGGGTTGTTTATAGCTATCTGCTATTGTCAACAAAGCCACAATAAACATGGGTGTGCATATATCGGCTCGGATGGCAGTTCTGGTTTCTTCAGGGTAAATTCCCAGTAGTGGAATTTCTGGGTCAAATGGTATTTCTATTTCCAACTTTTTGAGAAAGCACCATATAGCTTTCCATAGTGGTTGCACCATTTTACACTCCCACCAACAGTGAATAAGGGTTCCAGTTTCTTTGCAACCTCGCCCAGCATTTGTTGTTTACTGTTCTTACTGGAGTGAGAGGAGATCTCATAGCTGTTTTGAGAAGATATTTTTAATAAATAAGAATCTAAGAAGAAATCTTCTTAAATCTTCTTAAGAGTTCAAACAAGCAACAAATAACTTTGAAAGCAGAATTAAGTATCCCAAATCATGTTTAAATGATCCTAATTTTGGCCAGTTATTAATGACTTAGCTATTTTCACAAAATAAGAAACGAATGAGTGGTACAAACAATTAAGCTTTTGACTACTAACTGAAAGGGTGGCAATTCAATAGAGGACACATCTTAGAATATAGACTTGACCATCTGCTTCCAAAAAGTCACAACTGTGAAAACCCTGTTAGGCAGCTCTACTGTGCATACCCTGGTCTCCATGAATTAGAACTTCAGGAATGAAGGGAGAAACCACAGATGGTAACTATCTGGTACATAGAATATTTTTCTTCTCAAATTCTTTAAGATATGTGTAACAATTGAATGCAAAAGCTATAAAATTGAGATTTTTTAAATGCGTGTAATCAGGAGAGGCCAGTCCCTGGAGAAGGACATCATGCTTGCAAACATAGAGGGCTGGTGATGAAGAGAAAGACTCAATAAAATAGATTGACACAGTGTCTGTAACAATGGGTGTAAGCACAGCAGGATAGGGTAGGGTTTGAGACACAGATTTGCTGTAAGAGTCACTTTGACAGGACCTAACAGCAACGAGAGTGTGATGCATATGAGAACTGTAGCATAGGATAAAGGCACAATTTAGTGGAAAAGTTTCTATACAAAATAAACAAAAAAAACTGGAATATGTTTTGTACTGAAAAAAAAAAAATTGCATGTGAGGGCCATCTAAAACAGTGTTTAAAGAAAGCTTATGCTATTTTTTAAAAAAATAATAGTTTATTTACAAAATTCGAATACATTGCTTTCACACCAGATTATTCCAGTTTCCCTCACGACCCCTGGATCCATTCAATTGTACAACCCCATGATAATCTCTTTCCTCCCCCTCCCACACCCCACCTTGGCACATCTTCATTGCTTTGCTTCTACCCTCCCTCGCCCCTGGATCCTCATACTCATTCTAAAATTATGGTTTTGTACAATATTTGTCCTTGTGTGACTCAGTTAGTTCACTCAACATAATGCTTTCCAGTCCCTCCAAAATTAGGTAATAATTTACAAAATTGTTGCTCCTGTGTGCTATGAAGTACT